AATTGAAGGCTATGAAAATGTAAGGAAACACAGGGAAATAGGAACAGGTGGATGTGTAGTAACTTTTATTGAACAAGGAGTGAGGTATAGAGAAATTAGTAATAATGAAAAAGAAGTTGTTATGGTAGAAATCTGGACTAATAAAGGTAACGTCAGGGTGATCAACTTATATAACCCATGTAAAAAATTACAAAAAGAAAAATTAGAAGAGTTGGTGGAATTAAGTGGGGATAAAGTGGTGTGGTGTGGTGACTTTAATAGTCACAGCACTTTATGGGGTAGTAAAAATACATTTTAATGGTAAAGTAATTGAAGAATTATTGGATGAAAATGGACTGGTCTGTATTAATGATGGATCAGGGACAAGGGTGAACATTGTAAATGGCCAGGAGTCAGAACTAGATCTTACATTGGTATCAGAAAATATGGCAAACATATGTACATGGAAAGTTTTAAAGGAAACAACAGTAGGGAGTGATCATTATCCAGTAAAAAGCAGAATTGGTGTTAGAATACAAAAGGCAGAACAAGGAAACCTAGAAAGATGGAAATTAAAGAATGCAGGATGGGAAGTATTCAGTTATATTTGTAGTAATAGAATTATTGAAATGGAAGACCAGGAAGATGGAATAGAAGAATATAATGAAAAAATAAGTAATATTATACATAAAACAGCGACAGAGATAATAGGAAAGAAAACAACAGTTAGGAAAAGGAAGTCAGTTCCATGGTGGAATAAAAAGTGTGAAGAAGTTATACAACAAAGGAATAAAGCATTTAAGAAAGTTAAATAATCTTATTTATACTCTGACCTTATAAAGTATAAGAAAGCACAAGCTATAGTAAGGAAAACTATTAAAACAGCTAAAAGAAACTATTGGAGAAATTACTGTAATAGTATTGGATGGGATATACAGATTTCAGATATTTGGAGTATGATTAGAAGGATGGGAGGTATTTGCAAGAATGTTAACATGCCAGTATTAAAGAATGGAAATGAAATTGCAGTTTCAAATAAAGAGAAGGCAGAGATGCTAGCTAAAGTATTTGCAAAAGTAAATTGTAGAAGTAATTTGACTGAAGAAGCTAAGGAGTGTAGAGAGAGATTTAGGAGAGAAAATCCTGATATTTTGAATAAGTGTGAAGCAAGTGGAAACCCGCTAGATGCAGATTTTTCACTTTATGAATTAAAAAGAGCAATTGCTAAAGTAAAAGAAACTTCTCCTGGGCAGGACGAGATATGTTATAGTATGATAGAAAATTATCAGATGTAGCACTTTTTAAATTACTGAAGTTATACAACAAAATATGGGCAGAGGGCAAACTTCCTTCAGCATGGAAACATTCAATAGTTATCCCTGTAGGAAAGCCTGGCAAAGATAGGTCAGAAGCAACAAATTATAGACTGTAACGAATCAGCTCATGGGAAATATGAATAATTAATCATAACTAGTTATGATTAATTATGAATATTTTAGATCCGCTGTAGATATTTAGCTGACCTCTCAGGGTCAACTGTCTTGTCAATTCTAAGAACGTTAATTTCCTGGTTAAGGGAAATAACTTTCTTACTGTACAATTCTACAAAAGCTTGTAGCGTAAATCTGCATGATTAGTGACTCCGGTTATGAGCAAACAATGAACACGTCAAGTGTGATACAAGTAAGGTTTTATTAACTGCATAAAAACTTAAACTAGTCTAACATACTACATAAACACATAAACTGGTCTAACATACACATACACACACACACACACACACACACACACACACATACAGTTGGTATAGGAAAGGGTTCAAGCTTAACTCAGTACAGAGAAGAGACATAAGGAATTAAGGAATGAAAACCATTTGCATATTCAGCAGATCTACACCTGGGGATACGTCAGATTCTCAGTTCAAACACACCTTGTAAAAAGGTGTAACTGATACTTAATATATCAATTAATAAGACTAAGTTTGATACTTGCGAATCTCGGCTGTCGGAAAGAGATTCCTGATCTTAAGGCCCCAGATCTTGCTGAAATTAGTTGATGAAAAGAACCAGTTTGAGTCAGAGAATCTTTGGTGAATGGAAAAGTCAAGGCCGAA